TTTGTTTAAATTAAAATTGATATATACTATTTTCTAATAATAAAGCTAGCTTTATTTTTTATTTGAATGTTTGTTCATGACTATCCCAAAAAAAATTTCTAATCATAAGAATTGATATTTAATAAGATAAAATTTTAAATTTTAAATTGTATTTTAATTAAATAAAATGATATTGTTTAATATTAAAACTTTTTTTTGTTTAAATTAAAATTGATATTACTATTTTCTAATAATAAAGCTAGCTTTATTTTTTATTTGAATGTTTGTTCATGACTATCAAAAAAAAAAAAAAAAAGTTTGTTTACATCGTTATTTATTAGTGTCTATATCAGCCCTTCTTTTTTGTATTTTGTCCATGTCAGCATTTATTATGAATCCACAAACTGGGTTAAATGGCCATGTCAGCATACCATCCACTTTATCCTTGGTTAGTAAATTGTACAAAGTTGAAATCCTTAACTATACATTAGGAAAGTTGACATATTTAATAAAGGTTAAACCTCCTTTTTGGTCCCTCAACTATTGTACAGACCCCCGATTGAGTCCCTCAACTCAAAAATCCCTGATTTGGTCCTTACTGTTTATCATTTTAACCCCGATTTGGTCCCTCCGTTAAAAATGCATGACGTGTACTGTTAATTAACGGAAGTATAATGATCTGTCAAAATATTAAACCTACATGGAAAGACAGCATGGCAAAAAAATAATGAATTGGCAAAAAAATTTAAAAACTTCTCTTTCTTCCTCCACCTTCTCTTTCTCCTTCTTGTTCCTTTCCTTGCCTTCTTCATCGATCAATTCTTCATCTTCAGCTTCATCTTCATCAATCAATTCTTCATCAAACAACAAAATCCACAAAAACATAGAAATATTTTTTTGTTTTTTTTTGCCGAAGAACCCAAGGATGCCAGGTTCAAAGGAACCCAGCACTTGGGTTCAATCAAACCCAATAGGCACCCTTTCTCCTTCCTCTTCCTTGCCTTCTCCATCAATCAATTTTTCTCATCATCAAACAACAAAACCCAAAAAAAAAAAAAAAAAAAAAAACAAAAACAAAATTTTTTTTTAGTTTTTGCCCTTGGGTTCGAACCCAACGCCGAGTTCGAAAGAACCCAGCGCCGAGTTCGTAAGAACCCAAGCGTAGCATCAGGTTCGAAGGAACCTAGCATTGGGCTCAAAGGAACCTCAGCGCTTGGGTTCCAAGGAACCCAGTAACCCATGACCCCAATGGAAAGAGAATGGAAAGGACAAAGGGAAAAAAAAAAAAAAGAGTTTTTTAAGTTTTTTTTTGTCATATTAATATTTTTTATCATATTATTATTTTTTCCATACTACTATTTGTTTGCCATCTTGTCTTCCACGTATTTTGACATATCATAGTGTCACCGTGATTAAATAGGACACGTCATGCATTTTTAACGGTAGGGACCAAATTGGGGTTAAAATGGTAAATAGTAGAGACCAAATCAGGAATTTTTTGAGTTGAGGGACTCAATTGTGGGTCTATACAATAGTTGAGAGACCAAAAGAGGGGTTTAACCTTTAATAAATAATGGAAAAAGTTAAAATCCTTAATTAGTAAAGTATCAAAGTTTAAATCCTTATCATATCATTTCTCAAATACTATTCAATGCACCTAAATTTAATTGAATTATGCAATATCTAAGCAATCAATAATCATATAGAAAGTTAGTAATGCTTGAGATTTTTTTTGCCTTTTTTGCCATAAGGTTTGATTTATTCTTTAATTTGGCTTAACCTTCCTTGTTTTTCAAAGCATACATCGGAACCAAGAATGCCTTTAAAACAAATATATATAGTGATAGAAACACCATGATTCAATCCATCTATATTTCATTTGAGTTTTTTTACAAGAAAATATTAAGGTAGGTCATTGTTTGGCTTCTTCCCATTGTTCCCATGAAGGAAGTTATACAGATCTTCCAAGCTCTCACATGTCTCGATGTCGTCGATCAATTGATCGTTATCATCAAAAACATGATTAGCTCCATAAGTGAAATCGCTGTCGTTCATTTCCGTTGGAAATGCAACATCGAATGCTGACAACTGCTGCATAAAACTTTCAAGATTTTCAGTTGCAGCAAAGCCATCGGCAGGCACAGGAAGATCTAGCTCTCTGACTGGCTCAGAATTAGGACCAACCGTTTCCAGGTTAGGTGGGAGAACGGAGTCGGTTTCCTCTGTAGCAGCCTCACAATCTCTGCCTTCAATTTTCCTTTTCAACATTTTGTGAGGCGGCTTAAGAGGTGCTGAAATTTGTGAAGTGCTGCTCCCCCCATTTTTAACTTGGTTGCCAATTGTACCTTCTTTTAATGCAGCATTGAGATCTAAGTCCACATTTGACCTACCTCTGCCATTGTGAACTTGCAACTCCTGAAAAATTGTGAAAAACTAATTAACAATATGTTTTTCACAATTCATTAAAGAAGGAAAAAGAACTCATTGCTGCTTACCTGGTCCACGGGAACAACATCTTCCTTCAAACTTTTCCCTTTTGTAGGGTATTCCTCCCTCAACATGAATCTTGCTATCTCAATGATGGATCGAAAAAACCCACCAGAAGTTTCATGGTAATAGTACTGCACAAAATACATTGTTATCTTATAAATTAAACTACTCCATTTTTTAATAAAAATGAAAAACCTTAGATGGAGTGACCTTAGAGTTAGGTTGTGTTTGTGATTGCTGTTTAATGTTGTGATTCTAACTTCTTCTTCTTCTTCTTTTTTTTTTTTTTTTTTTTTTTTTTTTACATTTGTAGAATGAAAATGATATAGTTATAATATTCTATAATATTACAAATTTAATTAAAATGTAGTATTAGATGATTAATTCTTTTTATTCAGAATATATCATAATATTTGTGCATATTTACTCATTTAATGATATATTATAATTATAAATTTATAATTTTATACAATATTATACTATATCATTGTCGTTTGTAGAATTACTAATTATTTTAATAATATGCTTGTGAGAAAAAAAATTATGAAAAAGAAATCATAAACGCAAACCTGATTAATCATCAAGTAATTAACCAACACAAACAATTAGTCAAAATAGTTACTCAAATTACCGAATCAAATCTTCTATTACTTCTTTGCCTACGCTCGATGAGCCATCCATTTAGTCTCTGAGACAAAGTATATTGATATGTCCCACTCCATTTCTGCAAAAAATAAATGTCATATATGGATGGATGTGATCGTCACTATACCTTTTTGGAGACGAAAACATAATCTTAATTATCTGGTTACTTAGAGGATGCATGTTATAATGAAAAAGCAATAGTTATGTACTTACGGCTACAAAATTGTTGACCATTTGCATCACCGAATCAGGGAGATCATTGAAAGAAGTGCGTTCCTTGCCAACCAAACAGGCCTTGTTCCTTTGTTTCACCTGTGTCTTCAACTTTCCTGTTGCTTTCAAAATTGATTCCCTTAACTACAATGTAAAACCCATACATATGAATATTATGAACAGAAAAGTGAATTGTAGTCCGCCCTATGCAAGCGGCAAAACAACATTAATTCTCATTAGAATTTGACGTGAAAAATGTAACAGAATGAGAAAAACTAAGTATATTATAAATAAATGCTTCATTCATTTGGATTAATATTGGTTTTTACCTCTAGACTTAATGCATTAAAATCACAGTTTTCAGGTACCGCAAAGTTTAATGGAGCAGGATTCAGCTCTTCATTTGACTCTTCGTCACCAGTTCCAGCTGCCTCTTCTTTTCCATCAACATTCTCTTCTTCCTCACCATTTTGTTCTTGAGGCACCGTCTCATCAACATCCTCTCTCTGCATTTTCTGCTCATTTCCCTCCATTTGCACATTTTTTGCACTACATCTCCCCATCAAAGTAGCAATTGCTTCCTATAATGGATAAAAAAACGTCAATGTTAGACAAAATTGCAAAAATAGAATTGTGTGCATCATGACTATTCAAACTCAAAAGGGTCGAGTAAGAACAATTACATTGATAGTAGGTTTTAATACTTTAACTAGTATGCCATCTAGTGATTCTTCTTTTCCAGCAGTATTCTTTATTGTTTGACTTGAGGCCGAAGAAACGCCAGGGACATCAGACCTCGATGGTATTGGGTTGGAATTACCCGATGTTTCTGATGTCCTCTTTTTTGATTTGGATGGACCAGGCGCTGGCATCTCAGGCATCATTTGTTTTGATCCTGAACTACGGGGCGTATCAGAAGTTGTAGATATTGATTGTAAAGGACCAGCATTAACAGGCATGTTTGTTAGCCCACTGACTTTCATCTGCTCCTATTCAAACGAGATTGAAACCATCAAGCAAAGGAATACAAAGAGAGAGAGAGAGAGAGAGAGAGAGATAGACAAGTGTATAGATATACAATACTGAAGATTTTTTTTCTCTATTGTGACGCAATGAAGGGTTAATTTAGAGGGGAAAGGCATTATTTTGTCTTCTTTTTTTTTTTTTTTTTGAAATTGTGACTTAAAAATTCAAAGTTCAATATTTTCTTATTGATAAAAATAAAAATCATTTCTTGATAATTTTTTGAATTCCCACTAATTTAATTTGATGACAAACAAAACAATTTAGAATTATTTACAAATTCAAAATATTCTCATCAATCATTGTTGATGAGATTTTTTTATAAAATCAAATGAATAGACCATCTCAAAATTTCTTCTAAATTAAGGTTTTAAAAAAAATTAAATTAAGATAACAAAAGTTGTAGGAGGTAATAACAAAATCACATGAGTTGATAATTAAAACAAAGAATTAACAATAATAATGAATAACAATAAATAACCAATAGATATAAAATAAATAAGAAATTAATAAAGTAAAATATGATACGCACTACCATATAAATAAATAATAACTATAACGATAAACAACTAACGGTCAACGATCAAACAATGAGTTATGATTTATAGTAAAATGCTAAAAATCTATTAAGAATATAAGTGAAAGAAATATCACTACTTGATCATTTCCAAAGATTGTATTTTTTGTACAATGTGTAGGATTGACACCTTGTTGTAATTGTGGCTGCAATAACAATTTAAGTGCAAATGCCATAAAAAACGTATTCTAATTATAAAAATCACAAATCAAAAATAAAATTGAAATAGAAAGAGTTCGTATTCCTTTCAATTTTTTTCATCTTTAAACCGATTCTTTTACCCTCATTATTTTCTAATGAATAAAATTGTTAATTTTTTTTTCATTGCATTCAAATATTTGGATTAAAGAATGTTACTTCAAGAAAGAAAAATACCTCATGAAAGGCAGTGTAAGGGTCCTAGAAAAAAAAAGAAGAAGAAAAGCATAAAAAGTTAGAATTTCTTTAAATAAGAGCTAGATCTATACAATTAGCACTTTTATAAAACCTTTAAATTAAAAAAGTATTTAAATTTCTTAATGATTGAACTCTGTAAAATTAATTTAAAGCTTTAAAAATTATATTACCCTCTGTGCAGATATCCCATATGTAGAGGATGGATCTGAGCTACCAACAGGGTGGTAGTAATGTTGCCATTGGTTAGGTATTGGTCCAGAGCTTCCTTGACTTGATGGTTGCTGCCATTGTGAGTGGAATTCAGTCACCACTGGTGGTGACTCTTCTTTCTTTTTATATGTGGTGTTCTCCTCATTGACTTCATCATTGATAATCACCATTTTGTTTTACAGCAAGGGCTCCTAAAATGCTATGGCCAACAAAAAATGAAAAAGTTCTCAAAATGTTAAATGTTTGTTGTGTTTGTGAAGAGAAGAGTGATCCATTATATAGGCACCAGAAGAAGAGAGCATTCTTATCTCGTGAAAATTTTTATTCCACAAACACCTTAACATGGCAATCTGGTGGACCCATTTGAACTAGCAAAGGCTTGTAAAAATAAATAAGTTTTGTCCTTATTTTGTAATTTAGATGTAAATAAAAATTAAAGATGGGAGAATTCATGCATATAATCTGGAATTTTTTAAAAGTCAAGAAATTAAACCATGTTTGGTAATGAAATCTAAGTAATTAGGAAAAAAATCCAAAAATTATGGTAACTTCATTAAAAAAATGGGGGGTTGGTAGGAAAAAATTCACTAAAATTAGTAAAAATAGAGATTTTCATATAGGATATGAGTTATATATATATATATATATATAATTAGCTTTTTTTTAATGCAATGCTTAGGTGTAAATTAACACCTGTCTTTTGGATTTTTCAATGGATTTTATTCCATTTTTTGCTGTTATTACCATATTTAGCATCACATTTGAATGATATATCTAGGCAGGTAGGGATACAATTGTAAATAAAAAAATAATTGTTATATTCTCAGATTAACACATTCATCAACATATTTTGATTTAACTATTAAAATTTATAACTTTAAGTTTTTCTATCTTTAATTCAAATTTAAAAATAATAATTTCTTAATAAGTGTATTATGAGATGTGTTAAATCAAATAGTATATTAATCATTATTCTTGTAAATATCATATAATAAGAGCATATATTAGTAGAAAATATATATTTATTAATTACATTATAAATTGTGAAAGTTTAAGTATTTTTTTATTGAAAAGCTTGATTTTCTTTTTTTTTTTTAATTAAGTTTTTGTTAACAAGTTTAATTATATAATCATTTCAAAAGTTTGATTAGTTAGTTTTATATTAAGTTGTTTTTATTAGCAAAATTTAATTATATAAGTTATCTTCAAAAATTTTCATAGTAATCCCCTCCTATATTAACACTAATAAAAAGATTTAGCAAATGGATTGGAATCTTCATATCATGGGACGAGAGTTTCTGACAAGTGACACTCCAATACTAAGAACATGATTGAATTTGTTTAAACAAAACGAAAATGTAACAAATTGATTTCCATGGTTAGGGAAGTAAAAGTGCTATTTATTCATGCTTCACTTGTCAAATGTATACAAGAGAAACTCTATTGATTGGAGACATATGAATTTGTGTTTTTAAAATTTCTTTTGGATCATTGAATTAATTACTTATTCCTTAATTATGGAAAGATATGGCGATGGAGGTAATCATTGGTTAGATTGGGTTAAAGAGAATACAGGAGTAGGCTCTACTTGGTGGAGAGATGTGTGCCATCTTGATTCTTTGCATGGAGAGAGTGGAGGGTGGTTGTCAGAGAGTTTTAGAATAAAAATGGGGGAAGGAAAGAGGGTTAGGTTCCGGTGGGATCATTGGTGTGGGGAAGGGTGTCTTGCTAATAGGTTTCCAAGATTATATTTATTGTCAATAGGTAAAGAGAATATGTGCTACCAAATGGGCAATGCTAGCAATGGCTCATGGAAATGGAACCTAAATTGGAGAAGGAACTTGTATGAGTGGGAAGCCAATGATGCCGTGGAACTTCAAAAGAGGATAGAAAATGTGAAGATATCATAAGGTGACATCGACAGATGGGAATGGATTCATGACAAGGGAGGCTGGTATTCAACTAAAACTGCTTACTCTTTTCTAACAAGGGAGCGAGTGGAATCGAATGAAGTGAAGACATACAAAAGAATATGAAATCCCATCCTCCCTAGTAAAATTTCAGCTTTCAATTGGCAGTTAGTATTGGATAAAATACCAACCAAGGCTAATTTGCTAAGAAGAGGGATCATTAAAGACACAGCAGATACTAAGTGCGCCCTTTGTAATGAAGAAGAAGAGGATTCTACTCATTTGTTCTTAAATTGCAAAATTGTAAGGTGGGTATGGAAAGCTTGCTCTAAGTGGTGGGGGTCTAATATGACGTTGAACAGGGATTGCTGGAATACTTTTCAACTCCTTGGGATGAGTACCAAAGGATCAAACATCAAAGAAGGCATGGATTGCATCTGGAAAATAGTTGTTTGGTCTGTTTGGATTGCTAGAAACCAGAAAATCTTCCACAACAAAGAGGTAAATCCCGAAATACTATTAGAATTTGTCCAAATGAGATCTTTTTGGTGGATTAAAGCAAGAAAAGATTGGGTTACTATTAATCTTTCAGATTGGATTATTGATCCAGTAGCATGTTTTAAAACCAGTTAAGGTAAGCGAAAGGGAGCCAAATTAGTAGGTTATTTCTAATGGCTTTTGTTATGTATAAGTAGGATGTGTTAAATTAAATGGGTTTATGTACCCCTTGTACTCTATATTTTCAATAAAATTATTTGTTGTTCAAAAAAAAAATTACTTATTCCTTAACATCTATATTCGAAAGAGTTTACTTTTAGATTGTATATCAAGGATAATTTAATTTAATATTTCAAAAATAATGATTTCTTTCAAGTCTTGAAACATTTTTT